GCCGCCTCTAAACTTGTCTTTCCTTGGTTGTTGTAGCTGTTGGCTGTCTTTTTTTTTACTGTCGATTTTTGTTGCTTTTTACTCTTGGCCATTTTTGTAGGTGAGCTGGGCCATGAACGAGGGGCAGGCTCGACCTTACTAACCAGGCTCGCGATGTGGAGTGCAGTCGTGGGGCTCTGGGCCGCAGATCGCAGATCAACGTTAGAAATGGAAATGCGCTTGACTGCATACAATGGCTGTGGCTGTGGCTGTGGCTATGGCTATGGCTTCGACTATGGCTTTGGCAACCTACAACCAACCGGCGAATGTGTGTTACTGTAACTGAGCCAGCAGCCTGTTAGCCAGTTAGTTGGCCAGCTAACTAGCCAACTAGTCAACTAGCCAACCGAGGGGCAACAACAACTTGGTTTTGGTTTCGTTTTCGATCTTCCTGTCATTGTGCTGTGCCGCTGTGGCGCGTGCTCATCTTGCTTTAGTTAGCCGATGTTGCTGCCTGCACTTGTTGCACACGCCCGCAGCAACGTGCAACCTGCAACAGGTGAGAGTTGTCATGGCGTTGCTGCTGGCGCGTTGCACAAACGACAAATAGTGGCTAATGATAATGATCTGTAATCAACAGATGCCGTCTTCAGGGTCGACGGATATGTTGAAGGCAGATAAACAAGATATATGGCCACGAAAACGCTTGGGAAAATATTACTCATACGACATTAGATCACAAAGTTATACAAAAAAAAATGGCGAGTAAATTATTACAAAACCTTTATAATAATAATTATAATCCAATATAAAATGCATATATTATTAATTATTATTATCTCCCGGTCAAGTTAGGAAAAAAATACCAATTTCAAAGATATAATCAAAAAAAAAAAATTTAAAGGGCAGATAAGCAAGATATATAGCCATGAAAACACTTGGGCAAATATTACTCATACGACATGAGGTCACAAAATTTTACATTTTAAACGTTTATGAATTTAAAGAAGATTATAGACTAAATAGAGAAAGCACATACAAAAAATATTAATCGTTTGTCTATTTCTATAAAACTTTATAACATAAATATATTTTTAGACTAGATTAAGTACGAATAATTCCTACATTTAAATCCAAACAGGAAACAAAAAAAATAGAAATGAACAAATTCAAAGAATGCCCCTTCCCTTTGCTCTTTAAAATTCTAATATATTTTTAAAGCTTCCACTTAAGACTGAACAAGCTTCCTCATGTTTTTTGCACGCTGCTTAACATATTATTTCCATTCAAATTGATCGAAATTAACATATTTGCACAATTTAAAGCACTTTAATAAGCGAATTTTACTATGCGAAGGTTGATCACAACATCTCAATAAAAAGATCATGCAATCATCAGCCACCATGAAAATTACAAATAAACAAATTTTCTAGAAAGTAAATCTCTAGACAAACAGCACATAATTAATAAAATTATGAGAACACTTTGGGGCGATGCAAAAAAAAAGCGAATTGTAAGCGATTATTTCCGCCTTTTTCCGGGCGGTTGCAAAAACGATAAATTAGTAATAAATTCATCGATTGGATATGAATATGAATGGCGAAAAGAGGGTAAAAAATTGCTATGCAAATTGGGTATTTAGAATAACAAAAAGCGAAGGCTGTCGGGCATGCAAAGCATCCCCAGCAATTGGAACAATAGAAAAAATAAGTAGTAGTGCCAAAATGATTCCAAGGCCTTAACATTGGCTGAAATTCGGTCCAAGTCTTGGGGCCACAACACTTCAACTTTGAGCTAATGAGAATCGAATGCCGTCGTCGTTCGAAACTGGTTAGCCGAAATGCACTTTGTGCCCAGATCACATCCAATCCAATCCCAGCCAAACTGAACAAAACTGAACTGAAACCAACTGTTGAACCAAAACCAATCGAATTGATATTAACTCGTTTTGTTCTAGGCAACATTTTGTGATCTGCTGTGGCTCAGAACCTTTGGCCAGCCAATCAATCGCTGCCATTTTTTTGTGATTTCGTATTCTATATATTCCACAGCCACACATATTATATGGCTACGAGTTTCTAGCTTCTAGCCTCTAGCAGGGCGGCCTTGATATTTTGTTTTATTTATGAAATCAAATGCAGGCGAGCGAGATACAAATACCGACAGCCACCAGATACTTGTGGCATTTATTATAAAAAGCTTTCGAGTGAATGAATTCCCCTTGGCTTTTGTATCTGTAACACGTATGTGCCGTCTGTCTTGGGCCTGTCTCCGATTCTCAGTCCGATGCGAAAGGCAGGAAGCCGCAGAGCTCAAAATAAGCATTGACTTTGCATATTTGTGTGTGACAGCCCAGCTGTATCAACGGATATGCCAGGGAATGTTTGGCATTTCCTTTGAGGAAAACTTGATTTAGTTTTAATTAGAAAATTACTTAAAATAATACCAAAAAGAAGGCGTTGGGCTGGCCCTAAGAATCGCTCAATCTGCCATCTCGTTTGATCGGCTTGCTGCACACAAAGAAACCATTGTTAACGTTGTTATTATCGTAGTATTCTTATTATATTATATTTCTATGTCTTTATTAAGTTTATTAATATTTTTTTCAAGTTCTGTAATAAAATTTACACTTTAACATTGTTGAAGAAGCGTATGATTTATAATGCATGAATCATAAAAATCTTTGATTTAACGTGGTTGTGAAATATAAATGTTAGAAAAATATTCTTAATCATTTTTTAAGATTAAATATACCCTATATAAAAATTAAATATTATTAATATTTTAACATGCTGAGAATATTCTTTTTATTGTAGATGTCAAAAAATATTGTTTAGATAAATTAAAATGTGACACAATGTCAGCTCGCTAGTACATTTAAAGGAAAATTCAAATATCGAATTCATTTAAATGCGCATACAAAAAGTGTACCAAAATTGGTTGTCCATTTGTAAAGACATAATCAAACAAAAGAATAAAAAACTATATTATATACCTAGAGTGTGGTCTATGTAGGGACTATATTAGGAAATCCTTATTTATCATAATCAAGTACATTTAGTCGGTACAACGAAACAAAAGCAAATTTGGAATATTTTCGATGAGTTTAAATGTCACTGTATTAGCAAAATAGAACCCTTTACGATGAAGTTATATTTTTGATGATATTTTTTCCCTGTGCTGCTCCTCCGTGGCAAATTGCTGGCAGCCTCTTCTGCCGGTTTTTGAGGCTTCTGTTCATCTGCTTTGGGTGCTGGGTGCTGGGTGCTGGCTGCTGGTTTCTGGCTGTTCTTCTTGGTAGGCCGGCAACGTCCATCATAATCAACGTCCATCATCAGTTGGCTGCTGTTTGGCCGCGTGCTCCGTTGACACGCCCACAAAGCTACTGCTCGGCACGCCAACCTGCTGTTCGTTGCGCTAACTTTGGCTTCGACTTTGGCTTTGGCTATGGCTTTGGCATTGCCCGCCTTTGGCCATGGCAGCTGGAGTAATTTTTCATCAGCGTAAACATCTCGAAAACGCTCTTTGGGCTACCAGTTTTACTGGGCCCCGCAGATAGCAGCTGGTGCTTCTGGTGCTTCTGTTGTTGGCCGGTCGGTCATGTAAGCCGACATCAGCATATCTGCTATCTGATATTAGAATCTCAATTACTTTTTCCAGCTCTTCGGCTGCTATTGTAATTTCCTCCAAAGGGGCTGGAAAATCGGAGCCGGTTTTTTTGGTTTTCGGTAGGCAAATATCCGTTGAGGTAAACATGAAAATTTAGTGGCTGTCATAGCGATAGCACAGGCCAAAGGAGAATAGGAAAAACCTAAAGACGGGCGGAGGATAGAACTCAAATTGGCTCCTATCAGATTTAATCATTTATCAGCCAAAAGGCAATTACAGGTTGCGAATTTTCATTCAAAGCCCCCCAAAAATAACAACGCCTGAAATTACCCGAAATAGGAATGCAGTCCATAAAAGTTGCGATGCATCTCATTAGATGCAGGCGGGCAGATATTAAGTGGCACTCATTGAGTTAGCCAAACTCATAGCGAAATCCCAAACACGTTTCGCAATTTACGACTTTTTAATAATGAAACAAAACTAATTTAATGCAAAGCGACAGCAACGACAACGGCATTTGAATAAATTAATGTAATAGACAGATTAAATAGCAAAAAAAAAATTATTTTCTACTTGTTCACTTGTGCAGTGAGTTTCAGAACATTAATACGACTTAATAGCTAATAGATTAAAAACATTTATTCCAAACCATTTTTGACGAACAATTTATCAAATTTTATCATGAATAAAATCTTAAAATATTTTTTACAAGCGACTGTCCAATAAAATAATATATAAAATATTAAAATGTAATTATTTATATTTGATATGCTTTACAAAATGTGTAACATGCGAACAATAAATAAAGTATTCATTAGATTAAACTATCGTTTTCTAAACACTTGTTTTGTTAATTTAAGTTTGAAGATTTCCATTTTTTTATAAATATAAATTCAGTTTTATTACTGGGCTGAAACCCACTGTACTTGTAACTAGGAAATATCAAAAACTGGTAGCTGCCCGAATAGTAAAAGCCCCCACCAACACTCTGAAAAAATAAACCACAAAATACAACAACATCGGTAACTAGAACTGCAAAAAAAAGGTAAAAACGTTAAAAAAAACAACAACAACCACATACTGGTGGCTTAGCAAGAATGCAACAACAAAATCAAGAAAAATAAATAAATTTTCAGCATATGAAATAATAAGACGAAAACAACAAAAACAAATCTAAAGTGCAACAGGTTTTGTGTGTTTTCGCGATAACCTTGAAACAAAACTCGTTTAATCATTTCGTAGCGTTCGAAAATGCGGCAACAACAGCAGTAAATGAAATTTTATATGGCGTATTATAGATTTAATAAATTAACACTCATTTCCATTGGGGAAATTTTTTTGTTTTTTGTGTTTTGTTTTGTTTGTCATTTCCAGCTAATTGCGTTGGCTTTTCGCCTTTTGTTCAATTGCAGGTACAGTTGCGATTGAGCTATATCGCCCTGATCGCCCAAAAACCCAAAAAATATGGCCGACTGTTCATTTGCCAGATGTGTGCAAGAGCGTATGCTCATCAAACGGGAACTATTGAAGTGGTCCAAGAAAATGCTGCACACTGTGGGTGAGTTTTCATTCTGATTTTTTCAATTTATTTTTTAAATTAAGCAAATTAAATTAAACATACATAAATACAAATAAGAAATACCTTGAGATCACTTTAAAAACATTTTGTCACTTGTTAGATTCAATTTTACTCTGATGTTTGGTGCCCAATAAAAAATGTTTCAAATGAAATGTCAGTTTAAATAAATTATTTTAATTGCTTTTGATTAAAATTTCATTTGAATTTTTTAAAGAAGAAGGTTTTCAAGAAAAAGCACCCAACAAACAGCATCTTAAACATCGAAATAATTATATAGCAATTTTTCCACACAAATTAAATTAGAGCTGGTTCTTTAATTTAAAAAGGATTAAAACCAGTATTGAAATTTTTCACTTTGAAAAATTGAATTATATCAAGTTAAATATTAATTCTTTCTAAGGTTATATCTTGGTATAAGCTCAGTTTTTTAAAAAAGGTATCAATATACTTTTTCTCTACTGATATCCACTCTCTCATCCAATTAGCCGAATAATTTTTGTGCTTGGTGGATTGAACATAGCACCACCGGTTTTTTCATGCTACATATCTATGTAAAGCGCTTGCAAATAGCATACTTTTTTTTCGCTATTTTCCAAACTGCCCTCCTTGGCCTCATAGCTCATAGTCTAAGACCACAAATGGGATTTGGACCGTGTAAATGGCAAATGAAGTGCCTGCAAGTTGTTCGCCTGAAATTGACTTTAGCCAGACCTAATCAACATCGACTGGGGCGACTTACGTCCGGGCCATATGTTTGAGCGAAAGAAACAAATACAAAAAAAAAAAACACAGGAGTCTGGCCAAACACGGAGAAAAATTAACATAAATTGCAAAACCTTTTTTTCCTTTGGCTTGACTCTGGTGTCACCCTTGGATATATATTTCTTCGGCTCCTGGCGGCTGCTTCAGCCGTATCCTTTTGCCTGAAAACACTCATTTCGGTTTTTGAGCACGTTTAGCACGTTGCCAGCGCAAACCCAAACCCGCATTAAAATGTTAAATGCCTTTCGTTGTTGTAGTGGGCGGCTATATAAATGCTGCTCTCCATATACAAATATATATACATATGTATGAGAATGTATGTAAGTGTATATTTTTTTTTCTCGCCAGCTCACACACAAACACATCGTCCTTGCCTTGCGTCCCTGTCTCGTGCACTCAATTACTTCCTCAATGCGCTCCATAATGCTTATCGTCCTTGTTTCTAGTTGACATTCCCGCACAAACACAGAGACAGCGGCACCGCTTCCAGTGGTTTTCCCCCCTCCACAGCTAGGAAAACCCTTAGCACATTTTTCCAGCGACAATTTTTGCTCGGCTCTCCGGCGACGACGACTTCGTTGTCCTCGCTGCACGAAGCTGCAGCAAAATGTGAAAGAAGCCAGGCAAAAAAAGACATATATATATATATAGATATATATATATATATATATATATATATATGGGTGTCTGGCTTTTGGGGGTCTGGGATTCGGGTTAGTTCTAGCCAACATGGGTTAAGCGGGGAGGGGGCCCAAAACGAAGTGCTCTGCTGGAGATAACGAAGCGCACTTAAGCACACGCACACACAGCCCACAATCACACACACATGCGCAGGAGGTGGGTGTCCCTACGAAATATATTGCACAATATAAAAATTGCAGACGATGAGTGCCGAATGCGTCTGCCGAAAAGGCAGCCAGAACTATTGAGGGGATGTTTAGGGGGGTGATGGGGATAGGGGCTAGGGAAAACTACTACAAAAACAGCAGGAAAATCTACTGCAACAATTGGCAAACGAACGAAACCGAACCGAAGAACGAGGACGAGGACGAGCCAACGAGGAGCGAGCGTTTTCCTCGCCTGTTTTTGTGGCCGATTTTCGTCGCCAACGAATTTTGCTGCATTTCTATTTTACTTTTTTTTCTAGCATTTTTTATTCAAACACCCCAAAACTCAAACCCACTTTGGACCACCCAGAAAAACGATGCTGATCGAAGCTGAAGAGGAAGACAAAGACGTCGTTGGTTGGCCTAGGTTTGGGTGGGTGGTTTTCTGGCGGGTTTGTGGGTGCATTAGTGGGTGGTTTCGGGTGGCTCTGGGTGGCTTGAGGCATAGTGTTGATGGGAAATCTCGCCTGTTGCATTTTCCCGTTTTCCCCACCCAACTGTTGTTCGCAATGGCTCAATCAGTGAATCAGTGGTGGAGTTTCATTTGATTGTAATGGGAGCCCATCCACTTGTGGATTCAGGTGTGTGTTCGGAGTCGGTTGCCCAGCAGCCAAGCGCCGGCATAAAGGAGATTACACTAACCAAATTATATAAGCTGCATAAAGGTAATTTTCGATGGCGGCGGTTATGGGGCAAATTTGTCTGGGAACGAAATGATTTTCTTTATGTAACTCCATTAAAGAAAATTTTAGGCTATTTGCTCAAAGAAAGTGAGCAGGTAAGATAGTTTCAAAGCTTTGGTAATAAATAATTGAAAACTGTCAAGCTAATATGAAATTTAAGTTTAAAAAAACTTTAGGATTAAGGTCCTTAAATACTTGAAAAAAGTGTATCTTTTCGTTTTTAAGATGTCACAAAAAAAAAGTTTTTTTTACTCATTAAGTCTATGCCTTTACATGTTTAAGAGTTTATAAAAATGCAATTTATTTGTTCAAAGTAAAACATAATCTAAGAAAAATTGTTTTCAGAATTTAATTTGAAGACAATGTATGTTATTTTTTAAACTAAAAAATTAAATTTTTTGTATTAATTGTATTTTAAATTAAAAATAAATGCAACATATTAGCTTGTTTAATTAAAAACGCGTGATTATATAAGTAAACATAAGACAATTAATTTAAATAATAATTTTGTATCCTTAAAAACTGGGATTTGAAGCTTACAATTAAGTATTGAAATTAAAGCCAATAAACTTCGACTGAAAACTTAGACGCCACCGGATCTAAATCACACCTTGGAAGCTTCTGTAAAAGATTTCCGTGAGATAATGCAATCTACCTGAATAAAGCAATAAGGAGCTCAGGCAAATATTTTGCTAAGCTTATATTTCCATGCGAAAAAGTTATCCAGCACAAAACAAGCCCCAACAGGGATTTAACTTGTTGCATAGCCAGTCGAGTTCTGCTCAGCCCAGCCCCTTCCCCTATTTTCACCCGAATCCTTTCTATTTAGTTTGTTTGCCTGGAAAACTACCAAACCACCTTCCCCGCCCGATGGGGTGTAAACATATTAAAAAGCCAAACTTTTCCTTTGCCTTTACTAACGAAAAAAAACAACACAAAAAAACTAAATAAATAGAGGAAAAAAATCTCAAATATATAGAAGAGAAAGAGATGCATTATAATGTTGGTGGGATGGAGGGAGGTGGCCGAAAGCAACAAGCTGCACATATATATTTTTTTTATTTGCAGCGAGGAAGCGAGAGCGCAGAATGTTTCCGGGTGTGTGTGTGTGTGTGTGTGTTTTTTTTTTTTTTTTATTAAGAAGCAGCAGGTGTTGGGCAATATTGTGGGCCTTGTCTCTATGTAGTGGTTTTTCCACTCTTTCCAACAGTTTTCTTCTGCCACCCACATTGCCAAACGCATCTTTCGATTACGCCAACAACAAGCAACAATAAAGGAGAAGGAGAATAGCGTTGCAGGCGCCGCTGTCGGCTTTGGCTTTTCCCACCCACCCACTCACCCACTCAGCCAAACCAGACCCCCCTCTTGCGATTTTCCACCCATCGTCTTTGGCTGTAAGAAGGCATTTTTATGCCAGAAGGATGCAACAAGCGACGAGGACAACGTCGCGTCTGCTAGGGAGTGTGTGTGTGCCGTTGTGTGTGTGTGTTTGTGTTTGAGTGGGTGGGGCAACGCAATAAGCACTCCACCTACTTTCCAATGTCGGGCGAACTATTTCCACCCACTCCATTTTTCCACGCCTTGCCTTTGCCTTGTTGAATTTTTTTCCGGCGGTTTTTAGGTTACATTTTTACGAGTTTTCTCCATTTCCACTTCCACTGCCACAGCCACATCCACTTGTTGTTGTATTTTGCGAGGATGACGCTGCAAGCGCCGAAGGAGTCGCCTCCGTCCTTCGTCCTTGTTCCTTCGTCCTTCGTGCGAGGCAGCCAAATTCGTGCTGGTGTGTGTGTGTGTGTGTGTGTGTGAGGAAGCGCCACAAGTGGGTGAAACACGGAGCAAGCGAGAGGGCTATATAGACAGAAAGAAACGGAATGTGTGGGAGATGGGGGAGTTAGCTCGACTATAGTTTGGTGCATTCGGTGTCTCATAACACCCCACCCTCCCCATTTTAGCCACCCACCATCGGTTTTCTGGGTGCACAGAAATTGGAAAATAGATTTTTTGGTTGGTTGCCTTTGGCCGGTTTTCTTCTTTGCCTCGCCAGTTTTTTCATTCTTTTGGCATTCTTTTTTATGGTGTGAAGGTGGGGTGGCAAGTACACAGAAAATACAAATATTGTCATTAATAAGTAAAAATAAATGTATAAGTTTGGAATTTTAATAACTACCCTCTTAAATTAAGCTTTAAGAATTTACCCTTAGTCGCTGAGCTTAAAATTACTTTATTAGGAATAATATGGAATAGTTTCGTTATTATTGTTATATATTTACCCACAAATGATATCATCATGTTGATTTATCTTTAATAATTTTGTTTTTTGGAGATGTTTTAATGTTTTTTTTATTTATTGACACAACCTTGGTAAGGATTAAGCCTATTAATATTTTATAATTAGATCATTTTAAACAAAATAAGTGTTTAAAAATTAGGTTTATGAATTGATTATAAATGTATTTATTTTTTAAATTTTTTCTGCAGGTAAAGAAAAAATAATAGGATATGAGCCTCTCATTTTGATAATGCTTTTCCAAAGTAAACCACTATCATGGAATTATTAAAACGGAATATATCTAATTTTCTCCCGGTGTGGCTGGGTGTTGACGCTGGTCAACCGGCCGGTGCTCGCCAGAAAGTCAGGAAGCTT